TCGGAATGTATAGACTCATCGTGAATTGTCCTAAAGAATTTTATATTACTCGAATCGTGACAATGCTATTTTGTTTAAAGAGATTTTTTGGTTTATATTTTCGTCGATATCTTTTTTACAGAAGAGATTGATAGCCGAAATAATTATGATTTTTTTCGTATGTAAATGTGTGTTTCTATTTAGAAGAGGAGAATGTTTTCCATATAATAATGTATAATTGAGTGTAGGTGTGATTTTTTATATTTTTTTTTTAAATTCACCACTATTAAGTAATGGCCGTTTAAAAAGGTTAAATTAGAGAATTAGTACGTTTACGTAACTATCATATAATTATATTGAACTTTCGCCCGCGACTCCGTTGATGTGGAATGAAAAAAACAGAACTGTGTATCCTATGTGTTCTTCCAGACTCTCTACGTCTACGCCAAATTTTATCGAAATCCGTTCATCCGTTTAGGCTACAACCTCTAACAAACATCCATCTATCCATCCATCGATCTAAAATTTCGCATTTATAATATTAGTATGAGATGATAGAGCATAAAATCGTAAAGCAAACCGATTCGCTCATTCTCTTGGAATCATTCATATAGAAGCAAGATAAAAGCTGAAGTAGGTCAGTTGTTTTAGTATTTATTCCCATGAGTTTACACTGCCGAAACATTTATTTAACATTTTGATATCACTATTATTTCAAGGAGAATGTTTCTAAGTGTTCGAATTCAATTTATTTATCTTCATTTGTTTTTTAACTTGCTTAAAGTTTTATTTTTTAGAACATGCGAGCTGCCCAGCATAATTTGCCAAAATAGCGAAGCAACCGCTGCCCATAGGTGGCCTCCCAATACGGTAATATTAACGAAGTAACGGCTCGTGCCGAGGCTCCTGAGGGAGCCTTCGAGCTTAGTTACTCATAAACGAGGTTTAGGCTAAGCGCCATCTGCGCTCGGCCACCTCAAGCCCGGTGAATCTGTAAATGCTTTCTCAAGGCAAACAGTGGCCATCCAGTCACAAAAAAACCGCTGCCCATAGACATCCGCCCATTACCAAGTTCCATCGAAATCTGTTCAGCAGTTTAGGCTACAAACTCTCACAAACATCCATCTAAACTTTCGCATTTAAAATATTAGTATGATTATTATATGGATATAACAATAGAGACTACACAAAACCTCCAATGTCATTGTGTACGTTAGTCAATGTCAATGCAAATCATTACAAAGAGACTTCTCGAAGCTTCCGAAATGAACTTTTGTGATTAACGTATTCGTACCAGTTTCGGTTAGCGGTTTTGTGAAAATTTCAATTAACGATGCTAACATTTCGAAGTCGAAATGCGTGAAATATATTCCTTAATTAAAATATTTAGCATTAAGTGTAGTGGAATATTGTAGAGCGACAAGAATAACAACATAATGACGCTTGTAACTTGGAGGGTTAGGTAGAGATCACGGACCTCCGTTTGGTTCTACATGCAGGTTTCGGGTGTTTTTAATGTCTCCTTTCTTTAATATTTTTTAGTAAGAATGGTATAAATCCGTGGGACGACCTTGACCAACCTTGTCGATACACTTCGCGTTTCAAATATCTTATATTCACCCTTACAACGTGTTTAATGATGTTAAACTTTTGTGGAAGTACAATTGATTGTGTGAAAGTCGATATCAGTAAGTAACTGAATTCAAATATTACGGATATGGACATATGGAAGAGTTATGCCAATTCTCTTTTTTCATGTTACAAGGTGG